TAGTTTCTTAGTATTTTTGTTATTAATCCATTTCTATACTTAATCTAGGAGTACAGTGGCTCTGTAGTATAAGCACTAGACTTCAAACCTCAAGGTTGGTGGTTCAAACCACCAGTTGCTCTCTCTGCAGGAAAAAGATGAGGTTTTTCGCTCCCACAAAGATTGAAAGCCTTGAAAACACTATACAGTTCTGAAGCTGTAAATCTCTGTGGGAGCAGAAAGCCTCATTTTTCTCCTGTGGAGTGAGTGGTGGGCTTGGACCACTGACCTTGTGGTTCACAGTCCAGTGCTTATCTAGTACTAGAACTAAATATAATACAGCCGCTTAAAATTTCTCATATTTTTCAGTCATGCAAATCAGGTGTCTGCTTACTAGAAATTACTATTTGAATTGGTAGTTGCAGAATCTTTCATGAAAACTGTGTAAGAAAATATTCAATAAAGATTATTTTTTTAAAATTGATTGTCACAAAGTTCCCACGCTATTAAGGAAACACGTATTTATAATTATGTTATTTCCAAACTGCATGTGAAAATATCAGTTTGTTTGTCTTTGACCTCTTGGTTTGATGTAGGATTGCAGTTTGATTCCAGCGAATCTTGTGGAGGCATTTGGGTTACTGATTAACTGCAATGAATCATCTCCTTGCAACCCACTTCTCCCTACTGTGCACCATACTCTAAAGAAAGCCATTGATCCTGAAGAACTGCTTTATGTAGCTTCTAAACAGTTCAGAACAGAAGATTTTGAAAAGGTAATTAGATAAAATGATTACCCAGAATACTTTTGTTAACATTTCTCACTTTAAAAACTGCATAGATAGAACATCACTTTGAAAATTCTGTTTTTTAAAAATTAGGATTATTTTTCCCAACTTGCTTCTGGCTTTTAATTATTTTAAAGGGTATTACATAGAAACTATTTAAGATTATAATTAAATAAACAACTGAATAAGGAAATTGATATCTAAATTTTGAGGTATTCTTCATACTATTGTCCAAATTACCATAGTTTAAAGAATATCAATGAAAAGAAAACCAAAATAGATTATTTTTTACATACAATTGTGAGAGTCTGCATAGATATACAGGTATTTGCATTTTACAGACTATTCAAAGGGACTTCCTGTATGTGGAGCCTTCAGCCCTCTGACTTTATGGAATGTTTAGTATGACTCATGAACACATTTTAATGTCCTGACATTATAAATACATTTGTGTCATTTTTAGAGAACCTCAGAGTAAATGACAAAAATTTAGTAATAACTTTCATAAAGAGCTCTGGGAGAGTAGTGGTTACATGTTAGGCGGTTAACCTCTAGTAAACAGTTCAAAACTACCAACCATTCCACGGAGAAAGATGAGGCTTTCTGCTCACCTAAAGATTTACAGCCTCGGAAACCCTATGCAGGGTTGCCATAAGTCAGAACCGACTCCACGTCACATAACCAACCAAATCAACTAATGACTCTTATAGCTGTTAAGGTGTTCAAGTACTTACAGTGGAAACTCTTTAAGATTTTACTGTTTAGAAATCTGTCCATAGTAAAGTTAAAATATCTAGTTAGGATAGATATACAAAAGGCAGAGGATACTGGGAACTGGAAATTGTGTGGGTAAAGGGTTAAAAAGTGGAGTGGACTTAGAAAATGATTTATGAGCACTGTATTCACATAGATTAGAATAAAAAGGACAATATTTATGTTATAATAGGTTTTTTCAACATATATGAAAAGTAGTCTCTAGGAATTGAAGTAGTAAATATAGACAAACTAATAACCCAGAGAAATAAGTGCCCAGTTTTTTTCCCGAAAAATAAAAAGGATTTACTAATTAGTCAACAGGTATTTACAGAATGGGGCCCTGATGTGGGGCTGTACGATAAGAACTAGACAGTTAAACCCACCAGCTGCTCTCGGGAATCCTATACCGGTTTGCTTTATGAGTCAGAACTGACTTGACAGTTCTTAGCAACAAGAGCAACAACATGAGTCCTAGTGTGGCATTGTAGGATAAGCACTGGAATGCTAACTGCAAGGTTAGCGGTTCAAACTTACCAGCTGCTCCTTGGAAATCCTAATACAGGGTCACTATGAGTTAGAATTGACTTGATGGCACACAACAACAAAAATAACATTCCTGTTCTTTTATATTCCCACAGAGATATAAACTTTCTTCTTTAAATCATTTATAATTTGATACAAAGAACAAGATACATAAAACAAGGGAAATTTTAAGTACTAAGCTGGGTGGTGCTAGCTAGAAAGATTTTGTTGTTGTTGTTAAGTGCCATCGAGTCGGTTCCAACTCACAGTGAACTTGTATAGGGTTTCCGAGGTGTGAATAATGGGTTTGAACCACTGACTTTGTGGTAAGCAGTCCAATATTTAACCTACAGCACCACATCAGGAACTCAGAAAAGGAGATACCAATGTAGAGTACAAGAGTTGGGAAGACTTCATGGAGGCAGTAGTTGAACCTCAGCAATTTAGATAGCAAGAAAGATGGGCATTCTGCACAGCAATAGCAGTAGGATCAAAATCATGAAGGTGGAACGAGTAGTGTACATGGAAGACCATGAGAAGACATGCCTGATGGGAGTGAAACTGTATTATAGAGTCATAAGAATAAGATGGAGTTCTGGTGTGGTGCTGTAGGAAAAGCACTCTACCACAAGGTCAATTTTACCTTCAAGGTTGGTCATTAAAACTCATCAGCTGCTCCTCGGAAACCCTATGCAGGGTCACCATGAGTCGGGTGCTGACTCAGTAGCACTTAGCAGCAACAACAACAGGGATGGATTGGCAAGTTTACAATAACACTTGAAGCCCAGGTAGAAGAGTTTCTAACTGATTCGGCAGACTGTAGAGAACAGTGGTAGTCTAGCAAGTTAGTGGAACAGTGCTCCCACATACAAAATTGTTGGGTGGCTAAAATTGCAGCCCAGGCTGTCTGGGTGACCCACTGAGGTCTTTTGTGTGTAGATGTTTCTTAGAGAATGCCCTAGAATCCATACCTGTGAAAGGAAGAAGGAAGCTGAGGTGGGCTGCTGCACAAACCCAGTGATAACCTCTGCTGGTCCACAGGGAGCTCTGGATCTAAAGAGTTGTCTTGCTTTGGACTAAAATGGAGGGGCTTTTTCACAGCCCTTCTCACTTCTGCCTTAATTAGCCATTTGATGTGGACCCTCCCAGGAAGGACTTTACCCTCTCATCCTAGGCAAGACAGCTGTTTGCAGTTGAGGCAATTCCTGACGGGAATTAACGGCTGTGGCTGACGGCACTCCCAGCATTAGTAAAACAAGTGCTCTCCTGAAGGAGACTACAAGGGTGACTATTTGATTGTTGTTGTTATGTGCCATCAAGTCGGTTCTGACTCATAGCAACATCTGAAGCAGCTGGTGGATTAGAACTGCCTACCTTACAGTCAGCAGTCCAGTGAATAACTAGGATGCTATTAATACTACTTAAAAAAGATTCTGAAGGCCTGTAGGAAATTGTAGCGTATAAGGAGAATAAAGAGGACAGGATATGTCCAAGAGTCATTGCTTTTACAAAGTTATATTTAAAACATAAATAAATAACCTTATTATGTTGTTGTTAAGAGCTGTCGAGTCAGTTCTGACTCATAGCAACCCTGTACAGGGTTTCTGAGGAGCGGTGGTAAGTTTGAACCGCCAACCCTGCAGTTCAAACAGCCTTGTAGTCCAGTGCTTATCCTTACCTTCTTACGTTGTTAGGTGCCATCGAGTCAGTACTGACTCATAGCGACCCTAGGCACAACAGAACAAAACACTTCCCAATCCTGGGCTAACCTCACAATTATAGCCATGCTTGAGCCCATTTATGCTGCCACTTTGCCAATCCATTTTCTCTGACCCTCCACCTTACCAAACATGATATCCTTCTCCAGC